AAAAAACAACAGTCTGTTTTATATCCTGAAAAACCCCACCCGGTTTCCCCCCCCCCCCCCTCCCCCCCGCACCAGGCTCTTGGCAGTCCAACAGCAACTCGTCTCAGTGTCTGGCTGAGCTAAGCTAGTTTTTTCATGCTGTCTCCTGATAAGCTTATCCAAAGTCCGTGGTGTTATTCTTGCCCGGCCTTTACCTACGTCACATCTCCCTCATCCTGACCCGACACAGTAAAACACTCCTTTCAGTACTTTTCCATTCCTCAACAAGAGTGCCCTTTTTTCACTTTTACAAGATCATTTTTTCACCAAGAAAGAATTCTCTGTAAATGTTCTCACATGCTGCTGTTGTGCTGTTATAGTCCATGTCTACTTAGTGCTTGCCTGTTCCTAAAGTGGAAGTAAGATGGCTACATTTGTGATGCATTGGCAGTGCCATGCTAACAACTATGCTTTTTCCAGTTTGGAAAGTAGCATGTGTGAAGCTAGAGTGGTGTGATATATATCGGCCATATAGATATATTTTTGAACCCTAAATTAAATGCATTGGTTGGAAGTTTCTGGCTTCTAAGAGGGACCCTTTTTCAGACTGGGTGAAGAAATGTAATACATCAAATGCGCAAAAGAACATTTACTAACCTTTTGGAATTAGATTTCAAGATGGGCTCTCTTACTTTTGGTAAGCATGGTCTCATTCACAAGAAATTAAGTTCTTATGGCCAGCAATCTCTTTGGGGCCATATCCATGCCAAATTACAAGGTGATTCCACAAAACCAAAATATCCAGCTATGGAGTACAGAGATCTCTTGGTAGTCAAACATCAGTAGGGCTAAATAAGTCTTCAGTCATTGAAATCATTACCACATACAGCGTACAATTGAGGGATAAGAACCATCTATTACTCCCACCCTGGTAAAAAGAGTATGGGAGGTGTTGCCCCACAATTCCTTTTACCAGAGACCCCCAAGGATTGAGACGACTCCTCGTCCGATTTGGTATCAAGTGAACTTTATTAGTAACCCCTAGGCTTATTACAAGATAATTATCCTTACAATACGACCTGGCAAGCGGTTCCTTAAACGTTACAACAGTGACCTTCAGTGGTACCGGCCTCAGATCCTCTGCTGGGTGTGCAGGATGTTAGTTTCTGGATTCCTTGTTACTCAAAGCAAGAATTCCAAGGCTGCTCCTGTTTCCCCATGGTGGCAACACAAACACACACACTGTCTCTTTGTTTGTCCACTACTTTTGTAACTTTCTCATCTCAAACTGTCCAGTCCTCAAGTTTCTTATCTCATCTTTTTAGATAAGGTACTCCAATCCTATTTCATTTTTGGTTTTCTTTCCTTCTAGGGAAACTGCTGTATCTGGTTAGCCCACTGTACCAATCACAGCATTCATTTTTCCTGATGCCTTATAAGGCACTCTGTACAATTTAATTGCTTAGATCCAGGAAGGCGTAAAGTTATGCTAAGAGCCTGAGGATAACTCAATTTGCCTGTTAAAGGAGGCTTAACAAAAATGTTGAGTCTCATCTCTGGAAGTGACTGTGCCATCTTATTGAGACACAGTCAAGGCTCATTTCCTGCTGATTCCACTTTTCCTCCACACTAGAGTTCAAGGATGGACTTTAGAGAGACCACTCTGAGTAGGAGACCTCCTGGGTCTTGAAGGGAATGGACTCCTAGCATCCTTTGCAATCTCTGCCTAACCAGTATGTTTTAATTCTTGTCCTACTAGGCATCCTGAGGTTTGCAATCTGTGGCCCATTCAGTTAGGCCCAGGATTTCATCATCATGTGTGCCCTAAACACATTCTTTTGCCCAAACCTGTCTTGGAGATGTGCTGGCAGTTTCAAAGCCTTATGTATCTCTGTGTGTGTGTGTGTGTGTGTGTCCTAGAAATC